CTTAATTTTTTGGGGGCAGAGGCCCCCCCCCCCCCCGTTCTGTTTGGTCTCCGACTCTCTCCATCACTCTCTTTGTCCAGGTTCGGCTCGCGCTGCGCCCGGATATTCCGTCTCCTGCTGCGGAAGAAGCACTTGGAGCACAAACAGGTGGAGGATTTCGCCATGATCCCGGCCAAGGAAGCCAAGGACATGCTGTACAAGATGCTGTCGGTGAACCTGATCAGCCTGCAGGTCAGTGCTTCGTCCTCCTCTGTAGCCAAATTCTGGAGAGAAAACCACCGGCACCGGACTGAACTATTCCACCTCGATGGTTCTATATGCTGAGTGTACATGGCCTTTCCTTACAAGTACTACAAGAGGCTCTATGTGTGTGATCGAGGTCACCGGTATATGTTCATTTTTGGAAAAACAACCTCTAATCCTTCTTTTTTTTTTTGTACAGGAAATCCCCAAAACACCAGACCACGCCCCTTCCAGAACATTCTACCTTTACACGGTGAATCCATTACCCACCGCTCGCATGTTGCTACAGAGATGCTATAAGGTATCTATGTCATAAGAGTCATCTACTCTGCCAATGTCATTGATGATGAAAGGCAAAGTGACCCTATATCAGCCTGGGGAGACCTCCCCCTCATAATTCCCAACTCTGTTCCTGTCCACCTGAGAGTTCTACGTGTCCAACTTGGTGTGTTCTTGCAATCAAGCAGGGATGGGAGTCACTCATAATGGGCACAGCAGGTGTACAGACCGGGAACTCAGCACAGGGATGGTGGGGCCCCTCATAATGGGCACAGCAGGTGTACAGACCCGGGAACTCAGCACAGGGATGGTGGGAGCTCCTCATAATGGGCACAGCAGGTGTACAGACCCAGAAACTCAGCACAGGGATGGTGGGAACCCCTCATAATGGGCACAGCAGGTGTACAGATCCGGGAGCTCAGCTCAGGGATGGTGGGAGCCCGTCATAATGGGCACAGCAGGTGTATAGACCCGGGAACTCAGCGCAGGGATGGTGGGAGCCCCTCATAATGGACACAGCAGGTGTACAGACCCGGGAACTCAGCACAGGGATGGTGGGAGCTCCTCATAATGGGCACAGCAGGTGTACAGACCCAGGAACTCAGCTCAGGAATGGTGGGAACCCCTCATAATGTGCACAGCAGGTGTACAGATCCGGGAACTCAGCTCAGGGATGGTGGGAGCCCCTCATAATGGGCACAGCACTTGCCTACAAAACCAAGCTGCTGGGCTAGGAGTAAAGGGGAATACTATAGAGCACGGGTATAGCACGGGTAGTCCAACTTTGACCTTCCAGCTTTTATGGTACTACAAGTCCCATGAAGCATTGCAATACTATGATAGCCACGATCATGACTCCCAGAGGCAGAGACATAACAGGATTCGTAGTTTCACAAAAGCTGGAGGGCTCTGGTTTGGCTACCCCTGCTATAGCTTATCATTTGAGTGACATCTCTGGGGCTGCTGACATCACATCCATGATGGGGACACCTGGCAGCAGTCTCGGGGCCTTCTGGACGTCTACACAATGGAGGCTTTTATAGGTAAATAACATGCATGTAATCCGGCGAATGCACATATATTATTATGGGTAGATTGTAGCTGGAAGGAATAGTGCGCTGACAGGGTCTCTTAAAAACTGCGTCAGCATGTTCCCCTGCACAGCAAGTTGAGGAACGGGGCGAGTAGTTCAGAATGTGGTGGTGATTTCACTGCGTCTTTTCTTTTCCATGCAGACCGTCGCTAACCTGATTGAGAGGAGACAGTATGAGACCAAAGAAAGCAAGTGAGTTCCTGGATTTATTTTCCTTTATCCATGTCCCTGGTGACGAGGTTTGAATCCTGGCAGGAAGTGAGACAAAATCTCCCCAATAGGGGACACAGACAGCAAATAAACCTCTGACAGTGCCCCCAAACCTTCTCTGCTCTCTCTACCCCCCCCCCCCCCCCCCCCCCGCCCCACCCCCCCCCCTCACACCCCCGCCACACTCCTCTCCTGTACATACTGCCCACCTGATGAACGTGATGATGTCCTTTTTTTAAATAAAACCGTGACAGGAAGTGGTTGCTGAGGCTCAGTGTCACCCAGCCGGAAGTTCCCATAAAGCTATTGCTGTAGGAGAGTACAGGAAGGTGCCGTGCATGCAGATCATGAAGCTGCAATCAGGGCTGTCATTACTACACATGGGGCCCCGCACCGTATACCTGACAGCGCCCAACACAACCCCACTTCCTGCTGTCTGTGACTGTTGGCTATAGTGTGACCTGGAAGCACAGAAGAGTAGATTAGTATGAGCGCTGTCATGCTTACGTCAGCCCCGGTCTGCTTTGTGCTTTTGGGGTCTGCAGAGTACTCATGAGCACCATCGGTCACACAGAGTATTTAAGACTCGACTGTCCTACTGTCTGTACAGACATCGATCGCACGTAAGATACAGAGGGGCAGCCCTGGCCTGTGCCCCCACCCCGTGCACCCTTTGGGGTGCTGCCCTGGTAAGGGACTACTGCCCCTATCAACAGCCATGGTTGTAATGCACAAGGGGATACATAGAGATGGAGCCGGGACCCCCTCTGCTTCTGAGAAGTAAAAATGAAATCCAATATGGAGTTCTGCTCTATCTTGTTTGTAAAGAGTTACACAATCCTGTATAATGATCATATTAATAACATGACAAATGAAAAATGTTTTGTATCGTTCAGGCGACTGCTGGAGAAGTCGCAGAGGGTCGAGGCGATCATCGCTTCCATGCAGGCTACGGGGGCCGAGGAGACCCAACTCCAGGAGATCGAAGAGATGATCACAGCACCGGAACGACAGCAGCTAGAGAGCCTCAAACGGAATGTCAACAAGTGAGGACACCTCCCATGTACATTGCCCCACCATCTGCCCACTGCACTGTATATCAATAAGTGAGACCTTCTAGGGGACACCTCCCATGTACACTGCCCCGCCATCTACCCACTGCACTGTATATCAATAAGTGAGACCTTCTAGGGGACACCTCCCATGTACACTGCCCCGCCATCTACCCACTGCACTGTATATCAATAAGTGAGACCTTCTAGGGGACACCTCCCATGTACACTGCCCCGCCATCTGCCCACCGCACTGTATATCAATAAGTGAGACCTTCTAG